CTTGAATATGATTCTTTGCAATTGAACTGGTTTGTATTCTTAAGGGAAGTTACCTTGAATATGATCCTTCAGTTATACAGGTACTACTATGGCAAACTCAATCAACAAAGGCAAGTTACCAGCCTCAACAACTGAAGAGTTTGAAACTCTGAAGTTTGGAACACAGCATCTTCCAGTTTTACCAGAAGGTCATCCTCAACAATTCAAATGTCTGAGAAACTGTCCCGTTTCAAGGGAACAAAAGGTACTACTTGATGCTCTTCAACGAGCTTCTAGCACTACAACAAAGTTTAATGCTATTAATGCATTAAATTATTACTTTGCAAAAATGTTGCTCGCTGTTTTTAAAAAACCCAAGAAAGAGGCCTACTGCCTTTTTACTAGAGACAAGCGTGGCGTCTACCTATCATATCCCTCTCTGTTGAACGCGATAGGTAATGACAAACACAGCAAAATTCAAGGATTTGATAACCTTGAAGAAACAATACAAGCTATGGTCAGCTATGTTGGAGGTGACAACAGTCTGTTGGACCATCCCGAAGTTGGTAATTTCATTTTTGAAAAACCAACAAAACAAAAGAATTTTTCAATTTATGATTCCATTAAACTTAGACAGTGCTTGGCTTTTGCTAAGAAAATGGAACAAAAATTGAAAAACTCCTTTTCTTTTCAGAAAAATGATTTTCAAAAACATATTTCCTGTTTGGAAATAGAAAATAAAAATTTAAAAACCGAAATCTTAGAACTCCGTAAAAAGATGGACTATGATTTCGAAACCATTGATTATGGAACTTTTACAAATAAAATGGCCTATGTTGGGTCATTCAAAAGAAAATTTTTGGGACAACTTCCCGGCCCAATCCAAGAAAAAATTTACGAACAGGTTTTTGTTGCCTTGTTAGTAGAACTTGGAGCACTACAAAACCGGTTATTCCAATTACCAGTAGATTCTACACTCCGCCAATACTTGAGGATAGTCCAATATCAAGATGATATGGCACCTTCATCTTCCGATCAGAACAACATCGGAATAAACCCTTATCTGGTGGAATGCGATCCTGCTTGGATTAGTAAACAATTAACTGAAGATTTATTCTTTTCAGGATTCATGAAAAAGATGATTATTTTCAGAAACTCGATGATAGAACCATTTTTCGGTACCAAGATAAATTACTGGATAAATGCGTTTTTTCGAAACATATACAGTGAGGATTATTTCATTGAAATATTCTCAACACACCCCTACAGCAAAAAAGGGGAATACTATCCAGCTAAACATCACTTGTTTCTGGATACTGAGTCATTCACTGATATTTGTTTCAGTGATAACCTCCAAAAGATTGATCATAATAATCCTCCTTTCACTACAGCGAGGTATGATCAATTCAAAGATGAAGATATCAACAAAGAGCTTTTAGCCGAAACCACCACCATCAGTCTTTGGGTGAAATTTGGCAAAGCTTCTCATGTACGGCAGAACTGTACAAATCCCACCTCCCCACAACCAATGAGTCTTTCTGATAAAGACGACTTTACCCTTGACGATCTCGAGGAACTCCTAATGGCGTAATCTCTCACGACATTTTCCATACAAAGACCATTTTGCCCTTGAAGGTTTCAAGGAGCTTCTCATGACGAAAGCCCTTACGTCATAAACGGATGTATCAAAAGACGACAAAGGTTAATGGCAGATAATGATATCTTGCTACCTTGTCACGATTCTTGTTTCGTTACATGTTGTTAGGCCCATTAAGCCTTGCATTTTAATAACGGTAAGATTGAATCAGTCTTTTGATAAAATGCAAAAAAAAAAAATGAATATCACTATTTTTGTCTTTTAGTGATGTTACTATTTTGTTTTTAGTGAGGAAAATTTCCTCCGTAGGTTTTCATTTACTTCTTTGTTAAGTTTTGAGACCCATAAGTCATAAAGTGGGTCCCACATGTAAATTACTATTTATTGATTTAATATTTTTGTTTTTCTATATAATGCTTCATAAGTCCCTTATGCTGGGCAAGAAGCATTCTAAGGAAGCACCACTCTCTCCTCTCCTCCTTCTCTCTACTTCTTATGTAAATTTCTTACTATCAATAAGAGAAGTTATTCAGCATCTCCCCTCTCCTTCTCCTTCTCCCCCCAAGTAAGTGTTCTCTGCTCCCCCTTATGAAGTAGTTTTCTTATAAGGGCGTCTTCGGATGCCTTAAGCTTTATTTATTAAAAGATGCGATAATCATTTAAAGGCTTATATAATTTTTTGTACAACTTTATTTTGTGTTCATATAAGCTTATGAGGAGATGTCTAACCGGCTATGCCAGATTCAGTCATCTCATAATCTTATCATGCATGACTTGTGTGTTTTTCCCGTCTTTACTTTTCTGCATTTAATTTCGTTCATGTGTAAGCTTATGAGGAGATGTCTAACCGGCTATGCCAGATTCAGTCATCTCATAATCTTATGGTGAACACTTTTCTTGCTATAACCGACTTTATCTCGGAAAGTCTTCATTTTAGCTAGCCCGGTTTCGGGTTCTCTGTGAGCTAAGTAGCCACGTTGACCGGCAGAAGAGATAAAGAGTTATAACATGTTTTAATTTATTTGTTTTCCTGTCTCTTTACTTTCCTCCTTTCCATCCCCTTCTCCGGGTCCAGGACGGTTTATTCTGGGTTCATTCCCGGTTTTCTCTGTTATGCCTCCCCTTGGTATCTGGGCAGTGTTTTTCCCATCTGGGGCTTTCTCTGTACCCCCCCCCCCCCCTCTCTCTTGGTATCAGAGCAAGAACTTTCCTTGGTTACCTTGAATATGATTTTTTGCAATTGAACTGGTTTGTATTCTCAAGGATAAGGATGAGCACGCAGCGGTAGCCACTTAGCCAAAAACTTAAGTGGTTAGTAAGGGTTCCCACTTTGATACTTAAACCCCCGGCCCCACCACGATTCCGCGACTCTGATTCACCCGCTCTTCGGGAATCTCGAGGGGACTTACCACACGCTGCCCCAATTCTGTCCTCGGCAGGAATCGAGTGCACGTCCTCGTTTTGATACCAAAGGATGAGCACGCAGCGGTAGCCACTTAGCCAAAAGCTTAAGCTGTTAATAAGGGTTCCCACTTTGATACTTAAGATGATTGCATATCTAAAAAGATTTCTCATCATATGTTTATTTCTTTTCTTATAAACATAATTTTAAATACAAGTTGATTGATAGTAAATATATATTAACATCGTTTTGAGATAGAAAAAGGGGGAAAATATATATTGTCAATTGTATCCTTTAAAAAACTATCTAATTTATCTAATTGAATAAGTTGCTTACAAACTACACAAAACTATTACCTTTCAATATTTCAAAAAGCTAGGTTTTTATAGGATTAAATTAATATCTTATCATAAAAGAAGCTCAAGGCTTTAAATTTTTTATGAAAAAGCTATAACCCTTTTTATGTAGTATTATTGGTATAGTACAATAATATATCAATATAATAATAATAATAACATAAAACACCGTATACAGTATATAACAAAAAAAAGTGGTAGAAATGTAAACTAGCTAAGGATAAAAACAATAGTAACAAAGAGTATAATTTTTTTATAGATTGTGTAAAAGAAACAAAAAAAGTAGAAATGAGCCGAGCATGTATTTTTATGACCAACAAGGTAGAGAGATAAGTATTGAGGTGTCAAAAAGTAGAAAAAGTACTGGGTCGCAATTTTTCTAAAGACTTGGTGATGTACATAAGTTACTGTTATGCAACTTTACATTGATCTGAACATCTAACATATCAGGACACTTAACATGCTAGAATTGGTCACTAGCATTCCGTTCCATGTCTATCTACATGTACATTATCACCAAATAGCATATAATGTAAACAACAAAAATTCAAATTTAAATTTTAAAATTATATATTCTTAAAAATTACTTTAAAGAATTATTAAAGTTAAAAAACAAATAAAATGTAATGTCTAAATATATCTCCATATTAAACATTTACTTTTATTTTATACAATTATAAAAGATTATCTGAAGCAATAAAACAAAGATTTTTATTTTTAAAATAAACTTAATTCTATAGATAGATTCAAAAGATTCGATAAAAATTCAATAAATAAATGAGATTAAAATAAAGAATTTATCTAAATAAAATCAAATTTATTTTAGCATGATTTATTTAAATAATGAGCTTAAACTATACTTAAACTTATGAACCCATTTTATAGAATAATTATTATTTAAATAAAAAATATTATTTTATTATATATTATAAATTAATTTAATAAAAAATTCATTTTATAAAAATACATATTAAATTAAAACTATAATAATCACTCATGATATAATAATTAAAATTAATTAATATTTTTAATTAATAAATTATTTAGAAGTAAATAATCATAATAAAAAAATAAATGTTTAATTCTTATTTTAAAATTAAATTGATATATTCTTTTATAATTTATATATTAAATTATATTATCTTAAATAAAATTTAATTTCATTAATAAAATTTAAATTTAAAAAACATATTTTTATTTAAATATTTTTTAATTAATTTTATATAATTTCAATTAAATCAAAATTAACTTAATAATCCATTGGATAACATAAAATCAAACCAGACTATAAATTTTAACATAATTTTAACATATAAGTTAAAGTAAATTATCAAAAAAATTATTTAACTCGTAGAATAAGTTCAAGTTCCACAGTTGATTTTGATAACTCTATCTAGAAACTACTTATAAAAAAATATTAATAAGATGAATTTTAACATACATAATTTATTTTAAATTAAAAAAATTACTTATATATTAAATAATTCATGCAGATGAAATCTACATTAAACTTACACTCTTATTATAAATCATATTTTTATATTCATTTTCTTATCAGGAGTTCAAACCTACTAACTTTGAGTTAAAACTATTTTAAATAGATAACGATTACTGATTGGGTTGACGTACCTGAAAATAGGGAAATAACATAGTAATGGTTTAGCCGCTAACTTCTATTCCTAAAATTGAAATTTACATGAACAATATACCGCATCCTAATCTGCTCCACATTATAAACAATGTATTCATTGTACAATAGATCCCCCTGCAATACAAAGCAATAGAGAACAAATATGAAGTAAATGATTACAATCATCAACAAACTTTCCTGCAAATAAAAAATTGAATTCTAGTGCACACCTTAATGCCTGACTTTTTTTCGGGCTTTCCTAGGGGAACTATGAGCCCATCCTCAAGTTCTCGTGCTTTTGAAGGATCAGGAGTAGTACCTCCTAGTCCTTTTGTGCTGCAGTACGAGATTGTCAAGTATATATAAACTTAACTAGTAAAACAAAAAGCATACAAAACACTATTTTAACGTATATGGAAACATTCACTAATACATTTATTTTGGGGTCAATTGGGAAGCAGATCCATGAAAGCTAGTTATATTGAATGATATTACACGAAGAAGAGTCAGTCATAAAAGATAATATATCACACCTTCAACTCAACTTTAACATTATAGATTCGGAAATGTTTCTTCCTTATAGGTATTCAATTTTCACATTTCTACCAAATGAGATTTCAAATCACACTAAAATTCTCAAACAATTGATGAAATTCATGCCACACTCAATGAAAGTATTGGGTCTCACTCGCAATTTAGTTGGTCTTATAATCAATTTTCTTGATTTTAAACAAATTTAACAAATAATAATGAATGTGACCGCATAAACATAGTGATAGCAACAAAATTGGAAAGCAAACCTCAATTTTCCTTCAGGCAACTGATCGGCATCATATTTGGCATTTAGAAGCTCAGCCATCTCTCCCAGTGCAACCTAAAAATACAGCAAATAAAGAATGTTTAATGGATAATTGAATAAAAAAATGACATATTGGACAGTAAAGAAGTTAATATATATCAAACTTTTTGAAGAAGTGGATCAATAATAAACAGATAGAGAGATTAATCTCCTAAACAGACTCTAGCAAACAATATTCTCATTATATTTCAGAAACATGTGATAAAATAAATGCAAATTTCTCCAACTTGAGCTTTATAATTGTCAAATAATTTTTTACCTGTACACCAATTGGTGAAATTGATAATTGGAGTTTAAAACCTCATTTCTGAGCACATTTATTAGTAATGTAATAATGCTTTCATTAGACAAGAAACAACCTCACATAAAAGGAGCACCCCATCTTTAGCAGTACGAGAAGCATAGCAGTAATTTGCACTTTTTGAGAACATGTCAGCAAAGTACACTCCCTTCCCAAACATGTACCCAGTAACAGGTGCCTCAGGAGGAGCTATGCGTAAACCTGACAATGGTATGCCCATCTCAGACTCATTAATGCATCAGAAAATATAAGGTCACGCAAACCAAAAAAGCTACTGAACAAATGAGAGAAGAAACGACCTTGAGATAAAATTCCAGTCCAATTTGTGAGCCGAGAACCATGCCACAAAAGCATCCTATTTCTTATACTAGCAAACTGTCATACAAAATCAAAAAGCTTGGCTCAATGGAAAAGGTGATATTCACGTAATTAACTGATTCAAACATTGAATTACAAAATTATATTCTTAGTAGAAACAAATTAAGGGATAAAGATCAAAAATAATCATGCATTAGCCACAGTGCCACACCTTTCTGTACCGTTCAGCCTCGCCTTCTCTTGATATACTAAATATTTGAACAATTTCCACAGTATAGTTTGAATGTGTTGCTGCATGAGTGTTCTTCATATACTCTTCAATCTAGTGACATCAAAAGGGACAAGATAATATTTTCAGAATCAAGAACTGAAGCTCCAGCAACAAGTAAAATTTAAGGACTGGAGTAAGCAATTTTGTGGGATGATTTTTATGCTTAGGAACAAAATTGTATTTCATACATCAGATGAAAAGAAACGCTATCACCATTTAGAAATCACTTTTCCTTAACTTTTTTCTATCATAGTAATAATCTTTTACTTTTTCCAACAAAACTATAAAGGCGGCATAGTTGTTTACCATGGAGAATTCCTCACAACCAAATTCAACCGGTACCAGTTCACAGTGCAGGCGTTGGTAATGAGTATACAGGGGATCTCCCTACAGAAAAACCAGAATCATAATCATGAGCCTAAACCAGTGGCTTTTCAAAATTAAAGGAAATACTTAGCATAGACAAATAAAAATGCATTTCATTCATGGGAGAAGTGGAGAATACAGAATTGTGCTAAATAAAACATTACATCGATAAATTCATTAAATTGGTGCAAAAGTGCAAATACCTGTTTATACATTTCACCAAAACTAAAAATACAACTCTAAAATATTGCTTGTTCAAAATATGGGGTACCAAGGACAAATCAAATATATCCATAAATGCTTGATCATAATTTGTAAATTAGTTTAATATTTAATGTTAAATAATTAGAACTTCCATTATAATTTCAGCACCCCTAATAGCACTTGAACTCTTGAGAAAATTCTCCTCAGCCGTACAAATTTATATTTTGATTCAGATTACAATAAAATGATAAATAATAACTCTTACATTGTTAGGATAAAGATGAGTATGGCATCTATGATAACTACACTTCACCTACAGCCTATATCATAGGCATCAAGCTAATTACATATTTAAATTATTCTTGTGGCTTGAAGTGACAAGGATATTATAACCGTAATAACAAACAAAAGAATCCCAGCAAAAACACTGAAAAGACTCCAAAAATTCCAGATATTGACGATTACAAGTAAATTAAATAGAGTTACCTGCATTTCTGCATCATCTTTCAAGAGCTTTGTGGCAACCTCAATTTCACCAAGAGCTTCAACCTTCGAGTAAGGAATTAATAAATATCAATGGTTAAACAAAGTTATAAGTTTCTTTTTATGGAAAAAATGTAAAAAACTGAAGGAAGGGGACATGAGAAAGCTACAAAGGCCAATATGAGAGGCAACAATATCATAAATTGAAGTACATAATTCATGTATATAACAATCATTATAAGAGAATCCACCATCCCAAATGTAAGAAAATAATCATCATAACCTATGACTATATGCGCAACCAGAATAACCATGTCAACACATGTGTCAGGGAAAAATGTATTACCATTTCTAACTTGCGTTTTAGTTTCTGAGGAGTGTCAATTGCAAACTCACCTGCCATATTAGTATTTTCATGTTAGTATTCCTCTCAAAAAAAGAGAGCGTATAACCACCAGAAGAATTTATTTATGATTTAGATCCATTATGATATAAACCTTTGCACGTGTTCTTTAGATAAATGAGACTGAGAGAGACAGCTTACGCATTTTTTTGAATCCAAAGTCATGTGGAATTACAGTATAGAACTCTCTGCAACAAGCAAATAAACCAATTACAAAATACGTTTTTCCAATATCTTCAAAGCAAGAAATCCCAACCTCAGGTGACAGAAAATGAATTATAATATAGAAAAATAGCACACATCTCTATTGAAAGAAAATTAAAAAGGTAAGTATTCCAAAGGAAAAGTAAAGCAGAGGACATAGAGGAAAATAAAAAAAGAATACAAAATTTCTTACCCACTTAATTGGTCCAGAACTTTCCTGTCACCTTTATCAATCACATTAGCAAGTCTTTTGAGAACTTCATAGCCCTAATAACTCATAAAGTATAAATAGTTAATCTTTTAACAAGACAAGATAGGCAAACCATGCAAGGCGAAATGCTGTAGCAGTGCCCAAAAAACCGCCCAAGAGAACTTTTGGACGATGATCAAGATGTAAAGATGTAAAAGGCTTCGTGTTTTATAAGTTCTTAGTTTTTATTAGTTTCTAAACAGCAAAAGAGAATGCTCTTGAAGTCAAAAAGCTTCTGAGTAACAATATGAAAACTCAGGCTCATTGTAGAAATTAAATATTTTTTTTCTATTCTAACACGAGTACATGGGTAATACCTTAAATTACCCAAATATAAAAGGATAAAGAATAAAAGCTCAACGGTATTAAAGAATGTTAATTTAATCAACATGACAACTCCAAAAGAAGAAATTAGTATATAAAATAGACTCTTGAAAGGAATATTAAACAAATGCCACATGCCCAAAGCCTACCTTCAAAATTGTTGATTTGCTAAGTTTTCCAAGGGGCAACTTGTTCGCATTGTACCCTAAAAGTAAAGATCCCACAGTTAATGTAGATAAAGAATATTGAATGAGGCTATATCACAATTCTAGAATGAGGAATTTAAATGCATGATCATGAGTGTTGACTGTCATTTGTTGAATAAACTAAGGACACCATATCAATGATTTAAAATAATCAACAGAATATGTCAAATATGCTTTTGAATCATATGACGTGGGATGGGACTCATCCCACCCACATGAAGGAAACAAGCAATAACTAACCTATTTCCATCATTTGCTGATTCATCATGCTCACGTTGCAAACAAGAGATATAAATCTTGCAACACGTGGCTCAAGTTTAGATTCGTGAGGCTGCTTTCCTAAAGCACGACCAGGATTTTCTGTAACCTGAAAGCAAGATCCAAGTGTTTAAAATGACCAATCAAATTAGTTTCTCCTCCTTTTGCTCCCCATCTACCAGTAACACTCCAAGTAAAACAAAATATCAATTACCAATTTACCATTGACAAGTAAAAGGTGAAGTTTACTCTATACAAATACCCTTCTACAAATGAGAAAAGTTAACTAATTTTTCATGGTCAATAGCAAGTGAACCAGAGTTAATTGCAAAAGGCACATTTATATGAAAGAAAAGAAAATGCAGCAAGAGGAACAGAGTCATGTAACTCACATTAGATTCATTTTCCTTGCCACTGTAGTCCATTTCCAGCCATGCATAACTTTTAGGATAGTTAACAAAACTATCCCTATCTGACCAAGCATTCTTGGTCTTGGCCAAAAACTTTTCTTCAAACTCCTGAGTGGCACTCTCACATGATTTGTAAGGGCCATGTAACTTGTCTTGGCCCTTTACACCTACCCTTCCCCATCTATTGTAAACAAGGAATTCACCACCATGGTCCGATTCTGCAAAAAGAAAATTTTATATATGCAGTCAGTAAAACCAGTGCAATTACCAGAAAAGGCTGGTGGATAAGCCTGACGCAAATCATGTCTTCCACAGCTCAAGCATCGAAGTTTCGCAACTACTTTTGAGTTGGAGATAACTAATAATCAAAATTTAATATCTTTGTCAAAATAATCATCTGATATTCCAAAATGAAAGATAAAAAGCAACAACACAATTGTGGGGGAGGGAGAAGCGCTAAATAATTGTTTGGATAAACCTTTTAGTAAGCACTTACAGTAGAAGAGAATAAGAAATAAAATGAATTGAATTCTTGCATAAGCTAAAATCAACTATCGCACTTAACTTTTATAAAAGCTTTTTTATTTAACTTTTAAAAAGTTAAGGTTCCTAAGTAGATTTTAGTTCATAGAGAAACTCAATACATTTTACTTCTTATCTTGTTTATCTTCAAATGCTTATAAAGAAGTTTCTCAAAATTTCACAGCTATGAAGAACCACTAGTCAACCAGTTAACCACTGGAATAAATTAACATAACAACAAAAAGCCATTGTAAATCATCAATAGGTAGACGGAATTGAGAATTAACCAAGAACTTGAATCACATAGAACTTGTTATTATTGTCCCGGACATTTGTCTGATTCAACATGACATCGTAGACGTCACCACCCTGCATTGTTCAAAAGCGTACATGTACACGTGAGTCATAAACCCATAAAGAAACATTCATCAAACTACAAAATGATAGTACGTCACAGACGACAACAACAACAAAATGAAACAACTTGTCTAGGTTAATATTACAATCAGGTTTATTTATTTTCTTAATGTCTGAAATTTGAATAAATCCGTATTTAATTCCTTAAATTTAAAAGACATATACTTTGGTCTTCAATTTTTTTTTTAAATTAAAAAAAAAAACGCTTTTAACCCTGAAGTGAGGCGATGTTGACGGAACTAGTGACGTGGAAAATATGTTTTAACTCTAAATTTTAGTGGCTGTAAGAATAATTAAGCCTCGCAATTGTTACTGAACTTACCAGTTGCAAAACATGATAGTGCGTCTTCACAGAATCCGGAAGACACTGATCGAGAACCGCCACGCCCTTTTTGGTAGCGGTCACTATCTTCTCCTCCTCTTTTATCTCCTCTGCAACCTCGATTTCTTCGGAGTAGTTAGAATCCTGGTTGTGCGAATCCCTTGCTCTCTTTCTAGTTCTACGAGGGGAACTACCAGCATCAGCGTCCCTCGTCGCATTCCGAGTTTCTTTGCGAAGAGCGGATTCAAGTCTCCGCACCTGGAATAATGGATGTATGAGAGAGAGAGAGAGAGAAAGAGAGAAAGAGAGAGAAGAGCGAGAATGAGTGAACGTGAATTTGGTTAGAGCGTACCAGAGTGGGTTTCGTGCCGGTGATGGAGAGTCCACGGTTGTGCAGCTCTGTTCGAAGCTCTTCCACCCTCATTTTACTTGATGATGCCATTTTAGAGGGAAATGGGATGGTTGGCGAGCGCTATTTTAGTCTCAACTTTCCATTTTGAAGCTTTAGACTATGTTTGCCAGCATACGACGCCGTTTGTATGCAAGGGCTTGACTAACAAGGTGTACTTCGCACGCTGGACTAATATCTGAATAAGAAATAAACTCATGGCAATAAATAAAAAGTAGTTGCCACATAAATTGTTGTTGGTAAATAAATCGCAAAAGTAAATGATTTGCATGAATTTTTTTCTTCTTAAAACATGAGAGTTATTTTAAAAAAATATTATTTGAATATAAAATTTACTTAAAAACTCGTTTAAAAAATATTAACGTTATTTATATAATTAAATTATATTTATTTTAAATTATTTTATATATATAATTATTATTTAAATAATATTTTTTCATTTCTAAAAATTCATGTAACGAGATATATATATATATATATATATATATATATATATATATATATATATATATATATATATATATATATATATATGTGTGTGTGTGTATGTGCTCTTAAGCCAAAGTAAATAACAATATATGAAGTTATAATTTGGACAAAGTCGATAAAATAATTTTATAACATGAAATATGACAAAGAAAGGATAAAAGGAATTGGTTTTTTAATTTCCAACTTCATAGGAAAGTTGGTAAGTCATTTGACTATTCCATAAGAAAATTTGAGAAAATTGTTAAGTTATTTGACAACACATGATAATCTTGAGTAAGTATCTAAATTGATGACATATGCCACGTGTCCAATGTGTTGTTAGGTTTTACTTCTTCCCAATCTCTTTACATCGATTGTAATTTTGCTATATTTATTAGAATGTGACGCCACCCGCGTTCTATAAATTATTTATTAAGAGGAAAACAAGTAAACTAAAGTATAAATAATTTATGTTTTTTTTTCTTTTAATTGTCACACATGAAATTAGCAATTAAAACGTATACATTTCATACAATATACAATAGTTTTTCATACAAAAATAATATATTGTCAGAAAATAAAAGATAACTCAATTAATCAATTTTTAACAAATAATTTCAGCAAAAACAACTATAAAAATACATAAATAAAGGAATAAATAAATAAACAGGTTAATATTTAATTAATCAAAAACTTGTACATATGAACAAATAAATGTATAAACAAATAAATAACTTACTATCAATCATTTGAATAAAAACAAATAATTTTTTAGAAATTTTTAGATATATTTCGAAGTCACTTTTTCAAAAACTCAAGTCATATCGGTTGATTATGTGACATTACTGTTCCCTCCTGGGCCTGAATACCATGGCTAAAAACACAGGCCCGTAATTGTTGTTTCCACCAACTACATCAACTTGGGTCGAATACCATGGCTAAAAAAGCAGGCCCATACTTTTTTTTCAACCAACTACCCTTATTGGAGTTATTTCTTTATGCATCCCAATATTTCTTTTGCACCGGTATAATATATGTAAAATATTCAAAATGTCACTGGGACCAATTTTTCTTTTCAGTGCGACACTTCCGTACAGCACATGCACCTTTGATGCACACCTTCATTCAAACATCAATTTCATTTTTAAGATTATAAATTTGTTGGTGATTTATTGTTTGAATCATCAATTTCACTTTAAACTTGGAAATTTGTCAATAATTTATGGTTTGAATCATATAAAATGTTGTATATCCAAAAATTTTCTAATAAAATATATTTGATTTGTGTCAATGATGTTTTAGATGGTTGAATTAATCTATTCAGAATTTATTTTCAAATTGTGTTTTCTATAAATATAGTTCAGATTTAACAATCCAGAACTCATTGTGTTTTTTTTTTAAATATATTTTGAATTTAATAATCCAAAACTCATTTTTTAATTGAATTGTTGAAAATATATTATGGATTTAACAATTTATAACTTATTTATAAATTTAATAATCTACATAATAACATCGTTATAATTAATTCTAATGTTTATATTTTGTTTAAAAAACACCTCAGTGGGTTAAGAGAGAAGGATGTATATTGTTGTAAATAGCTAATTCAAGCATATGACAGTTAGTGTATAAGTTGTGTGCTTACTTTTTCTTCTCTACTAACAAGTGGTATCCGCAGTAGTGTTGAGGTTATAGAAAAGTTTTGCAGCATGTATCTACAATGCACTACTACAAATAAAGCTTTCAACGTCGGTTCTGGAAGGCTTTCAACGTCGGTTTAATAACCGACGTTGTATCAGGCGACGTTGAAAGTCGTAACTTTCAACGTCGGTTCTAAAAAACCGACATTAAAGTTTTTACTTTAGATAGCGGTTATAAGGGAACCGCTATCTAATATACATTTTAGATAGCGGTTATAAGGGAACCACTATCTAATATACACTTTAGATAGCGGTTGTAAGGGAACCGCTATCTAATATAGACTTTAGATAGCGGTTATAAGGGAACCGCTATCTAATATACAGTTATAAGTCGACTTTCAACGTCGGTTTATTAGAACCGACGTTGAAAGTATGATTTTTTAAATTAATAATTTTTATTTATTTACAACTCATTTACCCCCTTTTATTTATCTAGAAGTCTCCCCTCTCTTCATATTATATTTTTATTAGGTCCTCCATCTCTTTATATTATATTTTTTAGAAGTTTTTTAATTTTTAAGAGAATTGTCATTGGCAGGATTCGAACCCAAGTACTTTAGAGTTGGAGGCCGATACTCCAACCACTAAACTACTTGAGTTTTTTGATAATAACTTACAAATAAATTATATTTATATACAAATAAATATATATCCGTGTAAATTTCACTACTAGAAAAATGTCAAATAGTAACTTCGAATCTCAACCTCAGCCTCAACCTCGACGAACTCGAGGCCGAACCCCAACTCGGCGACATCGAACCCCAATGTCAAGCCAAACCCAATTGTCATGCTTCGTGAAACCCAACGCAAACCCAGCGGAGCTCGAACCCTAACGCATACCCTAGTGACGTCGAACTCTAACCTCGAGCCAACCCCCACTTTAATTCGGTCGCAATTAGCGATTGATTGATTGCTCAAGGATGTGTAAAAGATGATATATTCAATGTATGTTAAAAAAGTTCAAGTCAAACTGTTTTTATAGAAGATTTTCAAAACTGCTGGTTTAATTAATCTGTTAAAAGATTCTTTTAATCTGTTAAAAGTGCAGCTTTAATCTGTTAAAACTTCTTTTAATCCATTAATACGTTCTTGATTCTTTAACGATTTGTTTTAAGCTGATACGACAATGTTTATATCAATTAAAACACTTTACAAAAAATCTTCTAAGTTGATTTAATCGATTGTTTCGCGATTCAATCGATTGAAATACTCGCAAAACTTTCTCGTGACACTTTTCAAGTAATTTTAACTGATAAAAATAAGTTTTAATCGATTAAAACGCTGTGCAGAAATTGTTTTAATCGATTGAAACGATATTTAATCGATTAAAATAGTTCTGATCGGTCATAACTACATTCTGATCGATCATAATTGAAACAATATAATAGCGGTTCCAGGTTAACCGCTATCTAAAATGTATCTCGCTTGAGCGACACCCTTCTCGCTCGAGCGAAACGCCCCGTGCACAAAATTAGCATTCTCGGGTTGTATTTCGCTTGAGCGACACTACCCTCGCTCGAGCGAAATTAGATTCTGATCGATCATAACTTGAAATGATCGATCATAATTGAGAGGATATAATAGCGGTTCCCTTATAACCGCTATCTAAAGTGTATATTAGATAGCGGTTATAAGGGAACCGCTATCTAAAGTGCATATTAGATAGCGGTTATAAGGGAACCGCTATCTAAAGTGTATATTAGATAGCGGTTCCCTTATAACCGCTATCTAAAGTGTATATTAGATAGCGGTTATAAGGGAACCGCTATCTAAAGTGCATATTAGATAGCGGTTATAAGGGAACCGCTATCTAAAGTGTATATTAGATAGTGGTTCCCTTAGTTCCCTTATAATCGCTATCAGTAAGTAAAAAATAAAATAAAAAAAGACTTTCAACGTCGGTTCATATGGGAACCGACGTAGAAAGTACTTTCTACGTCGGTTGACTAAGAACCGACGTAGAATGTGTTTAATATTCAATTTCAACGTCGGTTCATCTGAGAACCGACGTGGAAAGTACTTTCTACGTCGTCTCAGCTATAACCGACGTTAAATAACGACGTAGAAAATATATTTTGTAGTAGTGATGGCAGGAAATGGAAGTGAAATTTTTTTCTCAAATTTACTGATTCTTGATGGAAGAAATTATAACCACTGAGTTATAAGGATGGAGGTCATTTTTGACTATCAAGAACTATGGGAAATTGTGATGGAGGGTGCTCGTGAGAAGGATGAAGTCGCAAATAAGAAGAAAATTACAAGGCTCGTTGTCTCTTACATCAATGTGTGCACACAGTGAATTTTGAGAAAATTTCCAAGGCAAAAACAACAAAGAAGCATGAGATATACTGCAGAAGGTGCATGGAGGCATAGAGAAAATGAAGAAGGTGAGATTATAGTCCTTAAGGATTAAAGAGTGTAGCAGAATACTTTAACTGGTTGTAGTTGCTGGTTAATTAAAAAAAACGTGTGGAAAATCAATGACAAATCTAAGTATGGTGGAGAAGATACTGCATACACTCTCATCAAAGTTTGACTACATTGTGGTAGCCATTGAAGAATCAAAAGACATTAAAAAGATGTCAGTAGAGGAGTTTCAAGGTTCGCTAGAAGCACATGAGTTAAAGCTTTTGTCACGTAATGCTGAGAAGCTCAGTGAAGAACAAGCTTTGAAAGCTCAAGCTACGAAGAAAGGAGGTTTTTCTCAAGGCAGATGGAAGAAGAACAAGTCAGGTGGACGATTTAACAAAGATTGTAGTTCTTTGAATCAAGAACAAGGTTATGGTGAACACACATAACAAACAAGGTCAGCCAAAAGTAGTTTTGGCAAAGGTAGAGGAGGAAAGAAGATTCAAGATTGCATAC